GAAGAAGCTGTCAAGGAGGCTGAACAAGTCCTTCAAAGGTTCAACCCTTCACAGGTAATGTTGAAGACATTTAGTTATAACTGATTTGCTTTAATGAACGCATCCTTATATTGTGTTAATCAAATATTTTGGTCACAGATCATTTTTAACACACTGTCTCAACATGTATATGTTTCTCTTCATTTCAGCTGAAAGGGAAGACCAAAGGAAGGGCTGTCATGGGATTTGAATTTGACCATCTTGTGCATTTATGGAGAAGACCAAAAGCTGCAAAGGCAAACACTTCCAATGGTACGTCTGTGTCGGTCTGAGCACTTTGACTGAACTTTACTGCAGAGACATTTTTCACTGCAATTGATGTTTCTTAAACTTTGGTTTACACACCCCACGGCCCCCTCAGGAAGAACCCCCAGAAAAGTGTCATGTTGAAGTAGTAATAATAATTCATACAACTGACCAAGTCAGCAAATTCATATGATATTGTACAATCGTACTCGTAAAAAATTCTACGACTTTTACTCCTACTACTGTCATTGGCCATTGCCTCAACTCATGCAGATTGTGCCCATTGTAAGTAGCCAGAGTATTTATATCATAAAGTTTATATTAAGTCCATTGTATTCTTTATTAATCTTTACAAATTGGTGCCGTCTCTTCCTGTTCCAACAGTACGTGATATCTGTCCACACCTCACAGTATGCCTTTCTTTCCATGTTGATTTTTATTGAACACATCTGTCTAAGAAGCAAGAGTCTGGAAATGCTAGTTTAACTTGTCACGTGACAAATCAGATCTTCAATTCATTTGGCCAAATCAGATCACTTAAAGCTGGTCACACCAAGAGCAATAACTATAATGAGAACTATTTTAACATCCACACCAACAGACAATACTGTTCTGTTTACTGTTATACACGCTGCAGTTACAGTATGTTGTTGTCAGTGTTTTTGTTGTTCATCATGTGATAAGTTCTCTTTGTTCCTTCTTGGAGGATTTCTCACAGATTACTTAGTCCTTCTCCATCAGCTCTCTACAATATCAGCCCGTCCAAAAGCTTCCACATCTCTCTCTCTCGTGTGGCACATCTGCTCTCAGTTCTTTACTGCCAACTTCCAGTCTTAGCATGTCTACTTGTATTAATTTCTCCTTTACAATCATCACTCCCATCTCTACTATATATATATATTCTTGCTCAAAATGGTTGACTTTTATCATTATAAAATTATAATTGTTATTAACCATTAATTTGTCATGCATTTAGTCACAATAGAAGCAAACAGTGATTACAGGAGATATATTTTTAAAGGTAATAATTGTAAAATATTGAAGCATTGCTCTTAATCATTTTTTTCATTTGTTTGTTAAAGGGAAGAAAATAATATATTTTCAACTGGAGCCTTGAATATGGTTTGGCATCTTTTGTCATGATTTCTGTAAACAAATTCTCTTTTTATTTTTGAATATTAGACTATGTTTTTAAAGGGGTTTTCTGTTGCATTTTTCTTAGTTACCTCTGTGCAAATACATTTTTATAATCAACTGCGTTTTTTGTTTTCATTCTTTTCATAGTGGCACAAACTGGAGAGAGACTGCTGTTCTGGGCACTATGTTTATCTGGGAAAAGTTTGACATGTACATGTTACAGAAGCAAAATGTAATAGTAGAAAAATACTGCATGTTTGAATAATCATCAGAGGTGGGGGTGGGGTGGGGGAGGGTTTGTAAGCAAATGAAACATTTTGACTTATTATTTATTTTTTACACAGTATATGCAAACTTTTGAGTTTAAATATTGTACATTAATTAATATTAGTGTAAACAATGTAGCCTATACAATGGGAACTATTATGCCCTTGTTGAAAAAAAAAATTGTAATCAACAAATCTATTGCTGCATCAGGTTAACCCCACGATGCAATCTGTTGCAGTTTTATATTAACTGGGGACAAATAAATCTTTAACAGATTCTGTCCATTCACCACAAGAACCCGGAAGATCCTGTCATAAATGACCACATATGGACAAGTAAGTGTGACGCCTCTGCTCAACTGGGTTGCCATTGGCTTTGAAGTTCCCTTGGCACTCGCAGAACTCGCTGTGATTGGACTATCTTTTAAACCAAATTAAAAACCGCTTAATGTTGCAAAGTCCGTTTTGCTGTTATTATTACGTCAGTAATACCTTCAGTTAACAATGAAGTGTGGCTATGTCGTGAGAAATTACCTCTTTACCGAGATCGTAACCCTAACCCTAAGCATAACTTAATTAAACTACAAATACCAGCGCCACTTTTTTTCGCGTTCTAGCGATAGAATGGCAGAGGCTTATGGATAATGTAGTTTAAAATGTTTAATAATAAAATGAGGGAAAATACAATCTTTTTTGAACAAAGGGTCATCTAAACAGGTTCATTGTGCAAACATTTATGACATATTTAAGAGGCAGGCTGAAATTTGGTATTTTACTAACAGCACTTTTTTAAACACCTTTATACCACCTTTCCATATATGTTTGAAAACTCTGTCCAACATTATTTCGTTAACATAGCATAAGTAGCTGTCCTGCCAAATTTCTCTTTAAAACTATAATCAGACTTTGATTTACAGCCATTTGAAATGCTAAATTTTTTTGCTCTTCCAGGGGACTCTACTGGGCCCCTGGGGATGGAAGGGCAGTAAAACATGTACAGATCTATTCTCATCATGGACAACAAACTGTGCCGAGTCACATTTTTAAGATTGTCTTTTCAACAACTTGCCAATATGTAAGTTGCAAGTCATGGTTATCTTAGAATATCAATTACTAATATTTAATTAGATCAGGAGCAAGAATACAGTGTTGACAGTAAACAAAGACACCAATTTAAACAACCAGTACATACTGACACTTCATTGTACTATCACTCATAGTCAATGTGTCATTCAGTAAGACAAGGTACAGACAGTGTGTGGTTTATGGTGCAAAAGCCATACAATTAATGCAATGCAAAGAATCATAATATAAAAGACCTAATTTGTGTCTCTATGTCAAATATTCCTCATCTTTGTCCTCCTCAGGTGCTAAACATCAGTAATGTGCATGCTCATCATGCTAATAGTACAGTACAGGATTCATGTTGATCTTTCCCTGGTGCATCCCCCTCAGTTGTGCATGAAGTGCCTGCAGCAATATAGTCCATACAGTCTCTTCTAATGCAGCTTTCAGCCTGCCCGTCATCTAACTGAATGTCATTAATATGACCAAATGTTCATGTCTTAATTAAAACACTCATGGGAATTAAGTGTATTGTTTACTAAATTAAATGGTGTATTTACCAAACACTATCCCTAATACAGAAAATTCACCATACTTTATTATCCAACACCATGTGCAATACTTTACTGGAGGATACAGCATAAAGACAGCTAAAGTAGTGTATTAAGACAAATGATATTCAAGAGAAATAAAAATGGGTTATGTTAAAACCATGTTATTTTAATCAGATGAAGCCACCCAAATGCATGCATGGTGAAATGTCTTGAGCACCAAAGAATCACGTCCAGTTTCCTTCTCATCATCAGAGCTCTCCTGGTTTTCTTCCTCTTCTTGCTTATCCATGTCCCTATCATAATCGTCTGCCATGTCATATAAAATTTGCAGTTGTTATGCAGCACCCTACAGCACAACTGATGAACAAAAGACATGTGACCAATTCAAATCAAATCACTTTATTGTCACAATACCATGAACGCAAGTGTACAGGTGGTGAAAGTCTTGGTTGCAAACTGCAGCCACATATACCTTTGCAGTGCTGCACGGTATGAATTAGTGCAAACAGAATGTCAGGGATCAGAATAATAGGGAGTCCAGTCAGCGTAACTGATAGAGTGCAGTGCATATGAGGTTGGTGGGGTGTGCTGTGTGGTGTTACTGGTACGAGTTCAGTTCAGTCTGATTGCCTGTGGAAAGAACTTGTCTCGCTGTCTGCTGGTACAGGTTCTGCGATAACACCTGCCTGATGGTAACGATGAGAGCAGTCCATGGCTCGGGTGGCTGGAGTCTCTGACGGTCCTACTCGCACACCACCTGGTGTAGATGTCCTGGAGGGACAAAACATGTATTTAGGGTGTGGTAAATCAGTAAACAATATATAGTATTTTTATTTCTAATTGTTGCTCTGGACTTACCATTGATTCTTGTTGGAGGTTGTTGGAGGTATGGGCCAAAAAAGAATCCCTCCACAACTATCTTGCAGTTGCTCAGTTGTGAAATTTACTTTTATGGGCCGTAACATCTGCGCTGTCACAGTAGAGCTGTTTGTGAATGCAGTCTTCACAGCAGATACCTGATGGGTTCAGGCAGCAGTGCAGTACTTGGTGGCCATTGAATTGATATCTTCATCAACTGGCTTCATCTTCCTTCAAACAAACAGACAAAACAATAAGTCAACATTAACTCCAGAGAAATGGTGTTGGTGAATACAGGTGCAGGTGTCAGTACTCACCATATTCAGTCATTTTCTGCCCAAATCCCAGAGATGATGCACAGCTGATTTGCTCATTCTAGGAGCTATAAAAAGATGTATATGCGAAAAATGATTTGACTTGAAGAGTCTTTTGAGAGATCAACATCAATGCTGTACCACACATACAGTAACTGCATTGAATACAGACATACCAATGGAAATGTGCAAATCTTTTCTGTTTGTGCACAAGAAGGCCATGTTCATTCCTCATTCATCAGGACTGGTTTGACTGGCTTGCTGTGACTACATAAAAGAACGTGTAAGTGAGTAAGGGAGTAAAGGAATAAGTTGAAGAGAAATAGGCAGAGAAAGGCAGAATTTTGTGTGTAATTTTAACAGAATGAAAAGAACATTTCAGAGTTAACATTGTATGAAACAGAGGAACAATATCGTTGGAATCTCTTTCAGAACAATTATTTTTTTCCAGCTGATGAACAATAAAAACATTGACAGCCAATCAGAATCCACCAGACTTTAAAGAGCTTGAGCATTTTATGGCAGACAACATAACCACAGCGCATGCTTATAATAAACAGAACAGTATCGTCTGTTGGTGTGGATGCTAAAATAGTTCTCATTATAGTTCTTGTTCTTGGTGTGAACAGCTTTAAGTGATCTGATTTGGCCAAATTAATTGAAGATCTGATTTGTCACGTGACAAGTTAAACTAGCATTTCCAGACTCTTGCTTCTTAGACAGATGTGTTCAATAAAAATCAACATGGAAAGAAAGGCAGACTGTGAGGTGTGGACAGATATCACGTACTGTTGGAATAGGAAGAGACGGCACCAGTTTGTAAAGATTAATAAAGAATACAATGGACTTAATATAAACTTTGATATAAACACTCTTACAATGGGCACAATCTGCTTGGTAGCTGAGGCAATGGCCAATGACAGTAGTAGGACTAAAAGTCGTAGAATTTTGTACGAGTATGCTTGTGCAGTATCATATGAATTTGCAGACTTGGTAAATTGTATAAATTATTACTACTTAAACATGACACTTTTCTGGGGGTTCTTCCTGAGGGATGTGGGGTGTGTAAACCAAAGTTTAAGAAACATCAATTACAGTGAAAAATGTCTCTGCAGTAAAGTTCAGTCAAAGTGCTCAGACCGACACAGACGTACCATTGGAAGTGTTTGCCTTTGCAGCTTTTGAGCGTCGAGTTGAAGTTCTTGTTAATTCTAGCAGAGCACGAGAGAGAGAGACTTTTACAAGAGATGGCTTCTTTAAAGAGCTG